GTGATAACTTCGCTCCTCTGCACCTTCAGAGGGGTGCTTCTGTCGCGCCTGTGTGGCTACTGGAGGGCCGGGCGGGCCTTGCCGCAGGACTGTGCTCTGCCCCAGCCGCCCTCTCATGCCACCAGCACAGCTGCGTCTGCTCAGGCTCCGTCTGCCTCCTGGCTGCGGCTGCCCCGGTGGCCTGTGCAGGTGCTAAGCTCTGACCCCCTCCAGCGCCAGCAGTTTTTCAGGAACCCTGCTGCCACCCCTCCTGGCCATGTGACTGGGCCTGCTAATCTGAGGCATAGTGAGCTTGACTTCAGAGCCAGGGGCCTGGAGAGAAAGCTCTGTGTTGTACACACAACCTGGTTTTACGACATTCTTTTGCCATTTGTCGGGCAGGATTTGCTGCAGGCAAATGATCTCTGCATTCTGTATTCACCTCATTGCTGTCCAACTCCGGCTCTAGCTGAGGGACCGGAGCTAGAAGTCTTGTGATTCAAGTGCTCCCCTGTTCAGGTCCAGAGAACGGGGAAGTCAGTCATTGGCACACTGAGGATAGAAGCTCTGCTTGTCCTCCATGTCCTCTGAAGTCAGGTCTTCATGGCTACTTATTGTAGAGGCGAACAGAGTGAATGGCCAGCACCATCACCATCTGACGTACCCATAATTATTAAGAGTCTCCTGCTCTACCAACTGAGCTAGCTAGGCTTGTGGTGGCTCCCACAACTGAAAGTTAGGATTAAGGTGTTGTTCTAGTCTACTCAGTTTCTGCCAGATCTGTAACATACTAAGAGCATCGCGGCTGGTTCTGAAGTGACCTGGGTTATGCATAGCTGATGCTGAAGAGCGCTCAGTCTTCCTGGACAGATCTTGTAAGAGCCTCCCTGCCTCTGCCTCAAGAGGGCCCCCACCTTTCCAAGTGCCTGAAGCTGACATACATGTTTTAAAAGGACCAGAGAAAACCAAACTCCAGCCTTTGGGAGCTTGACATTATGTGCTGTCTCCCCTTTGCTGGAAAAATCCCTGCCATAGAAGGGAAAAATGGGCCAAGGAATGATGATTGTTTATATAGTCCTTCATTCAGAAATCCCACTCCTGTAGGCCGACACCAGCTTAGCTGCTCTCAAATTATTTTAGATTCAGAAAGTAATATGCACATTTTAGCAGGTGCCCAGTTGCTTGTTTGGCAACCTGGGAGATCTGAACTCTTTCCATGGAAGGTGGAGACCACGGGCCCCATCCATCCAGCATACTAGACATTAAAGACCTGTACACTGTGGAGTTTGGAACTAGACAGGCACCTGAGACATTGCCCCCTTCCTAAAGAAACCCGCTCTGGCTGTGTTGAGAAGGGCCTTCATCCCTCTGAGAGCTATTTCTGCCAGAGCCATGAATGAGACAAGAATTGAGAGACAACCTAGAAATTAAAACACGTGTTACTGATGACTTCCCTTGCTGTTCTGTTCATTCTGATCTAAATACAAGGCCCTTTGTGATCAGCTTCAGGAAGGCTGGATTTGCCCTCCACTCCCCTTCTCACCCCTTGCTCCCCTTCAGGGAAACTTGGCTTTACTTCACTCACACCACCCCTACCACACTTGGTGTCCTGGCTTCCACCTTTCTGATTCAGTTGCTTAACCCTTCAGGAAGGCACTTGAGGCCTGTGGGAATGGCCAGCAGCAGTAGAGCTCCAGACTGTAGAGACTTTTAAGGGAGGAGAAATTCCAGAGTTGGAGTACTTCTTTGTCTTTTATCTTGCTTCAGGGCCAGCAGGGCAGGTTTCTGCAAGTTTCCCTGTTAAGCTGCTTTCCTCCAAGCTGACCGCAAAGCAGTCTGGGAGGACGGGAAGCAGATTAAATTAATCTCAGTGTGTTGCACTTGGCAGGGGGTTAGATTGTGTTTGGTCATTCCAGAAATAGCCCCCAAGACGACTGCAAAGATGAACAGCTGCAGACTTTGTGTGCGCACCAGAGCCTGTCCCTTGGACTCTCCTCCTGTAACCTGTCCCAAAATTGTCATGGGCAGTGATAGTTTTTAATGTTAGGATGAAAGGACCTATTCATTGATTATTTATTTGTTCTCTGAAATAAGATTCCTTCTTTTCCCAACTTAGATTCCAAAGTCTTTGCTTTCCAGCGTCAAGCATCATCTCTGAGCTGGTGACTGTGTCTGCTCACTACTATATTTGGCAAAGAACTGGACCTCAAGAGTTATCCCCTGGTCTTACCCACATCCGAGAGTGTGGGGGGTGAGCACAGAAAGGGAAGAGCCAAAGGAGACAAGATTACCAGAGGCTGCTTGATGATGACTATCAATGAAAAAAGAAGGCAGGAGACATCCCAGAATTCAGAGCAGAACGACTTCCGAAAAGGCTGTAGACCTTAATTCATAAACTAAAACAAGCAAGTCACTTACTTCTTCCACTGTACTTCCAGTCAGAAAAGTGACTGTGTTTATAGAAATGAAATTTTACTATGCAGATCTCTTAGATCAGCAGACTCAATGAGTTACTATTGACTAGGTGCCTGATTTCAAAAGCTGTAGACAAAAAGACCTAGGATGATGAACTTCCACAACCTTTTCACATCTGGAATAGTTGAAAGAGCAGAGGGTGACACTGAGGTCACCGTGGCCATCCTGCATGGGCCAAGAGCACGTCCTAGCAGGCCTCTCTGCTGCCGTCCTCTCGCCCAGAGCGCACTGTGGCTGTCTGTCAGGGTGCTGTGTGGCTGGCCTTCTTACAGCCTGTGAGGGGCCACCTTGCAGGCTTGGCGAGGGGAGCACTGCCCCTAGTTCGCTTGAGGGAGAGACCAGCCTCTACGCCAGGTCATTATACAAATACAACAACCTTGTTCTGTGTGCTCTTGAGCAGAGCCAGGGTAGGTGGGCAGAAATTAATGGGAGCTAGATGCTTGGCTCATAAAAAAACTTTTCAGCCGAACTGCCCAGGATGGGAACAAACGAGGTCTTTTGTCACTAGAGTGAGTCAAACAAGGGCCAAAAAAAAATGATTGGGTGGCAATCAGAGAAAGTCCAAACACTGGGATTGAAGTGGACTTCCTAATTCTGGGAGCCTATCAACTGTAGCTCACTAGTCAGGAGTATTTTACTAGGCTTTTAATTAGGAAAACCGCCTTCTAAAAAATTTCATATACTCAACATTTACAGCAGAAAACTAAATGCAGTTGATTGTATGATTAACGCATCCTTCTAGTTACTCATGGATTGTTAAGGAGTTTTCCCCCCACTCCCAAATACCTTTATAATTTAGAACAACTAATTCTAAAAGGGGGAAATTTTCCATCTCTACAAGAGTCAGAACTCTCTTATTTTTTCCAAATGAATATAAACAGGGTTTTTTTCTAATTCTGCTCATGTGATGGCCTTAAGCAAAAATTACCTTTAAAAACTCTTATCAATCACATCTCTTGGATAAATCCAATTCAACTCTGAAATTTATTGTGGCTGCTGCAGAACTCCAGGGGTGTATCGTTGCCAACTCTTTTCACCAAAAGATATTCTAGTTCCTTACTGGGATTAGTAAGAAAATGAACCAGTTTTTAAACCTTGCTTGAAATGGGTTTGTTTTCTCCGTGCTACATAATTAGACACTGAATTCTTATTTTTGTGGTGTAGTTTTAGATCTTTAATTGTAGTAACAGCTTCTTCATATAAGTACTTGCTCAAAAATTGCTTAGTAAATGTTGTAAATAACTTTTACACATGCATTGGGTCATGTATAATATAAGGAGGCTTGTTGCAATTTTTAAAAAATGACATTTTTCTTCCTTTAGGAAGTTGCAGGTTAAAGGCAGCCTAAGCTCACACAGTTGGTGGTGGTAGAGATTGGCCCTAGGAAAGGGGGTGGTCGCAGTAGTGGGCTGTGAAGAAGCTCCTGAGAGGTCAGGTTTGAAGTAGACAAGGGGAGGACCCAGTTGCCGTGTGGTGGTTCTGAGCAGGCATTTCTCACTTCAGGGATTCCGGAGAGGAGGGCAGGAGTCTGTGGTTGGTTGAAAATCAGATCGGGTGTGGAGGTGGACAAGGAGCTTGATAGAGAGCACTGCCTAGAAAAGTAGCCCAGGGACCTCAGCTCTGCTAGAAGAGTTCTTGGTGGGATAGTAGAGGACCTGTGACCAGCTCCCATTGGAGTGCCTACTTGCGGCTTGGCCTTCAACTCTCCTACTTCAGCTCTTGGCCTTCATTAATTTTGTACTTGGACATTTCACAGGATGCTTAAAAATCTAACCCTTGTCTAAGGAACCTCAACAGAAGATTCCTTTAACCTCTCCCCCAACCCCCCACACCCCAAGCCCATTCCTAATGCAGTAGTTTGTCGTGACTTCAGAGGTCATCTTACTCAGCGGAGTGTTACTGTTTGTACAGATCAATACTGACCAAAGTCTTAACTCCTCAGAGACAGAATTCTTGTCTCTAGCCTGGCTGGCTGTCCTTAGCACAGTTGGGAAGTCAAGAAACACTGCTAGCCGCTGAGGTGCACAGCTGCAGAGCTGACCACGGCCCGCTGGGTGGTGGGTATTGAAACTGCACCACTTCAGTTGCTGAGGGAGGGGGCCGCTGGGTTTGTGGTGTTTGGCTCCGTGGACAAAGCCAGGTGGTTTCGTGGCCTAAACTCTGGGTCTCACTGCCTGCTGTTTCCTCTCCCATACAGAGACAGGGCAGGGCATTGTTCATGCACTGACCGACCTCAGCAGCCCCGGCATGACCTCAGGGAACGGAAACTCTGCCTCCAGCATCACCGGCACTGCCCCCCAGAATGGTGAGAATAAACCACCACAGGCCATTGTGAAACCCCAAATCCTGACGCATGTTATCGAAGGGTTTGTGATCCAGGAGGGGGCGGAGCCTTTCCCGGTACGGACTACTTCTTTTCCCCTCTTTTTTTTTTTTTTTTAATATATTTTGGATGTATATTAGAATATTTTTACATTTCTATGTAAAATTTCCAAAAAATGTGAACAGTTTGCTCTTCCTTGCTAACGTTCCCCGAAAAGAATGCTAGTCATTTTCTTTCCAGGATTGAGTATCTTCCTGAGGTCTGGAGGGGTCTAATTGGGAGTAATTGGTGGCGAGGCCTTTGGCTAGGCGTTTTCACACACATGCTGCGCCATGTCTGTCTGGTGACATGACGCTGTGGGTAGAGGGTATTCAAGTTGGGGTGTTTGGTGCAAGGGTGGGGACTTTGGGAAATGAAATGCCTCGCTCGGTTTTGAAAGCCAAAACCTCTGAATGGCTAGAACAAACAGAACCTGTACTGAATAGGGTTGCCAGTATATCAGAAATGAAGAGAACTGGGTTGCAGCCTGATGCTCTTTCTCTGGGAACAGCCTGAGACTGAAGAACTTCAGAAAGGGCACAGTAGGGTGTCTGCCGGTTAAGCATAATGTCAAAGAGAAAGACAAAGGAGTCAAGAAGATGGTTTATCAGAACAGAGTTCCCACAGCTGACTGCAGCATGCGCTGGCGAGGACAGGTGGCACTGCTCTGTGGGAGGAAGGGCCCAGAGCCAATCGCAGCCTCCTGTGATAACATTGTGACTGTCGAAGGCACACCCTCTTCACGGGATGCCATCTGCCTCTTGCTTACACTCTGGATCCATGAGTTGCTTGAACAGTCGGCAAGCCTCAAAGCTGGATTAACTGAGATGGTGGAATTATCTTCAGAAAGTACCAAAGACAAATAGGTCCTTGTCCTCGTTTCCTCTGGAGGTTGCTCAGGATGGAGCATCTTAACATCTTCACTCCAGCATTGCCAGCCCCCTTCCCTCAGTAGACTGGGTCCTCCCTTAGCCTGCTGGAGAAACACCAGAAACCAGCTGATTGCAGGTTGGATGCAGATGAACCTCCGCCAGCATCCTAGAGTTCTGACGTCAGAACTCAGAGGCAGCAAAGACAAAGTGAGTCGGTCGGTCCAGGCATTCACCCCACGAGCATTTGCTCTTTGGCCAAGACCATGTGGTCCTGTGCTTTGTGGCTGCCTGTACCTCTGGCCTGGGCTGGGCACTGGTAAGGGGGAGAATCGTGAAAAGTGAAAAACTGGCTGCTGTGTCTACTTCAGGTGTACACAAGAACAAACCACCTCAGACTCCACCTGCTGCTGATGTGTGGAGGGTGGTCCCAGCACATGTTCTGCAGGTGTGGAAAACCTGGCCTCTGCCACCGTCCCTTAGACACTGGGAAGAGCAGCTGTTTGCCCCAGCTGTCCGTTGGGCCTGGACTGACACCATTCCTGTACTGTGGTGCCCACGGGCATCCTACCCCATGAGCCCAATGGCAAAATAGGACCTCAAGCAGGGCACACTTGGGTGATGAAATAGGGGCTGGCGTCATCACCTGGATGCTTTATACATGTGATTTTAATGCGGCTGGATAGCAAGGAAGCTTCTCCCACCTAACCCTCATGGCCTCCATGTCACTTTGTCCTCTAGGTGGGACGCTCGTCCCTGCTGGTGGGGAATCTCAAGAAGAAGTATGCACAGGGGTTCTTGCCTGAGAAACTTCCACAGCAGGATCATACTACCACCACTGACTCCGAGATGGAGGAGCCCTATCTCCAAGGTAGGCACCTCAGACCCTGAGTACTGAGGCCTGGACTCCGTAGAGCAGGAATTAGGCAAGGCTAGGAAGGCAGAGGCTTCACACTTTCTTTCTTGGTCTTGGAGGAACTCTGAGCCAGGGAATATGTAAACATGTCCGCCTGCTAAACATGGCTCCCAGCCCCGCTAAACATGGCTCCCAGCCCCTTCTCAGCCTCCTGCCCCACTCTGGCCAACCACAGAATTCTAAGAGATGCTTTTGCTGTGAATCACTGGCATGTACAGGAAGGAGGGTAGAAGCAGCCTACGCAGGTGAGTAGCACTGCACGAGGGCAGGGGCGGCCCCAGGCACAGTGGCGGCTGGGCAAGGACTACACTGGCCACATTAGCCACAGACTAGATGGTGCTGCTGCCTCAGTCCCAAACTCCTGGGCTCAGTATCCAGGCCAGCAGCCCCTTAGGTCAGGATAGGATAGGGTAATTGCAGGTCAGCAACAGCCTCCAGAGGGTTCTCTTTGAGCTGCCTGCTCTCCTCAAGGGTTGTGAGGATGGGGTGCTGATTCTCCCATCTCCTCTGTGACATGCCTCAGGCTCATAGCACTTAAAATACTGTCACATGTCCAGGTGGTGTCGCCTGAGGGAACTTTCAGGAACAGTGACGAAAGCCGTATGGTATCTCCCGACTGCCACACGTCATGTGTGGAAACACAGGAAGAGGCGGAACACAGTGGGGAGGCCTGGTGGTGGCTGCTGTCTGTCCTGCGGGAATCGCTCCTTCTCCATACTTACCAGTTTCCATGCTTTTCAGAATCCAAAGAGGAGGGTACTCCCCTCAAACTCAAGTGTGAGCTCTGTGGCCGGGTGGACTTTGCCTACAAGTTCAAGCGTTCCAAGCGCTTCTGTTCCATGGCATGTGCAAAGAGGTGAGTGGCCTCAGCCCTTTTGCTATACTGAGCCCCTTCCCTTTGCTCAGGCCCTTGCTCCCGAGCCCCTCCTCCCTCAGGACTAGTCCACCCCTGGGAGTGGGGGTGCTCTAGGAGCACCTGAATCTACTTGTTTCTCAAGCTGCTTGCACACAGCAGCAGATCACTAACTGCATGGAACCGGAAGTCCTGTGAGCCGTTCAGGGAAAGCAGAGTCCAAGGGAGGAAGCATTGCTTTAGGTTGGCTGACCCTCCTGGGCCCGCTGGCACCCTCCTTTCTTCTTCCCCTCAGCCTTGGGGTAAGCTGCGACCAGAAGCAACTCAGGCCTCTGCAGCAGCGCACACGTTTCCTCTGTGAGCACTCAGTGACCGTGAGAGGCCAAAGCCATGTGCTTAGGCCCTGCTGGGTGCAAGGCTCTGCCCGCGGTGGGTGTGTGGGCCCTCTAATCTTCAGAGTCATGGGAAAGGCTGGCAAGGCTCACGAGGAAACTGAGGCACAAAGGCGCATTAACTGTGCCTGACATCCTACAGCTGGGGATTTAGACTCCTCTGACTAGGACCCATGTGTTCTTTGTACCAGCAAGGTAGACAAGGTGGCTAGCTTTGAAGCCCTGAGCCCCTGAGAGGAATCTCTATCCTCAGGCAGAGGCACCCTACATGTCCTCAGCAGTCATTTCCTTCAGGGCACCTTTGGGAAGCTCTGTTGGGACAGTGGTTTCCTGTCACAGGTAACATCTGCTTAAAACCCATCAGCCCTGGCTCTTCTCCAAGATCCAGGTGATGCTGAGTGTTCTGTGTGCATTAACTCATGTTATTGGTGTATCAGTTTCCAGAAGTGAGTGTTACCACCCCCACTCCAGGTAAGGGAACAGGCTCAGAGGCTATGTGGCCCAGAGTCCCAAAGTGACTCACACAGTGAGGGATGAACTCAGTATTGGAAAGAATCGTTGGCTCAAACCTGGCCAGAGAACTTGGCTGCACCTACTCTGCCGGGCTCACATGCCCCCACAGCTGACTCCCCGTACCCTCACTCTGACAGGTACAATGTGGGATGCACCAAGCGAGTGGGCCTCTTCCACTCAGACCGAAGCAAACTGCAGAAGGCAGGAGCCGCAACCCACAACCGCCGTCGGGCCAGCAAAGCCAGTCTCCCAACGCTCACCAAGGACACCAAGAAGCAGGTGAGAGGCCAGCCAGGCGGAAACGCCCTTTCCAGTGTGGCGCGGGAGCCTTGCATGCCCTTTCAGAGGCTGATTTCAGGCTGCACACTATGTGCTCCTTTCTCTATCCGAGGTCAGCCTGCCCATGGCCCGTAACTGGGCCCTCGCTTAGACCAAACGTACGAATTGACTTTCCCTTGACATCATCATTTCGCTGGGGCTGGGGGGCTGAGTTTGCTCTGCCTGGTCCTGTGAAAGGACAGGCTTTCCCAGTGAGCTCCTGTCTCTTGTGGAAGCTGGGTGAGGCGACGACCTGTCTACCCTTTACCTTTCACCTTGCTGTCTCAGTAAGCATGAGAGCTCTGAGTTCTTGGGGTTCTATACCAAGAACATTCCTTCATTAACTAATTTTCAGCACCAGCTGTGCCAGGATCTAGGCTCTGAGTTGCCTAAAGAATCCCACAGCCTACTGTTAGAGAACCTCATCTGTATTTTGTTTCTATCATAAACTGCTAAGAAGCCGATGAAAGCTATAGTCCAAGATGTCTGCACTTGAGAATGACCGCCGCAGATGGCTCCTAGAGCAGCCCGCAGCACGTGGAGCCTGGTTTAAAGTCCACGTCTCGCAAAACAGTAGGCGCATCACCAGGCGTGTCAGTGCAGTGTGGTATATACTCAGGGTCAGAGAGAAGACGGCACGGCAGGTGGCTTTCGGCCTAGGAATTCAGAAGTGTAGGTCCAGACCGCGGTGGAAAGGGAGTGTAGCCTGCCTCTGCCCGCCCCTCGGCCACAGGTGGTATATCCCCTCCGTCCTTAAAACCGTTTCTTCTCCCAGCCAACAGGCGCTGTACCCCTCTCAGTCACTGCTGCCCTGCAGCTGACGCACAGCCAGGAGGACTCCAGCCGTTGCTCAGATAACTCAAGCTACGAGGAACCATTGTCACCCATCTCAGCCAGTTCATCCACCTCTCGCCGGCGGCAAGGCCAGCGGGACCTGGAGCTCCCCGACATGCACATGCGGGACCTGGTGGGCATGGGGCACCACTTCCTGCCGAGTGAGCCCACCAAGTGGAACGTTGAAGACGTCTATGAATTCATTCGCTCTCTGCCAGGTAAAGTGCCGAGGAATGCCATGCCTTCCTGGAACAATAAGGAATGAGAGGGCATGGAGACATCACCTTCCACCCCCAGGAAGGAACTAGGGGGCAGAGATGACAAAGATGAGAGGTTCCCACCTGCAAAAGCTTATATTCTAGGTTAGAACACAACTTTAAATATTCTGCAGCTGCATGATACCCTTACTGGCATGGTATGTAATCTGTGGGGCAGGTTGAGAGGGGAGCCAAGTGGAATTGCAGCAAATCTGTCAAAGAAAATAGCAAAGTTAAGGGCATCTAAGCTGAGTAACAGCTGGCAGGCCAGTGCTAGCTGGGGAGACTGCATCCAGGAGCAGCGTGGGGATGGGAAGGTCCATGGTGCAGTCGGCTGTGAGTGACCCCGAGGGTTAGGATCCAAAATGGGTCTTGAAAGTGAAGCCTTGTGTGATTTATGGGCACTCTCACTGGCACCTTAAAACTTCTGTCTACTGCCTTTTTCTGTTTTGGCCGTTCTAACTCGGTTACTGACTAGGTCAGACGTTGATGGAAACCACAGTATCTGAGCCAGAGATGCGCAGACCTCAGTGGCTAAGAGCAAGACTTCCTAGGCCTGGGCTCAGACCCAGGCTCTACCTCTTGGTTCAGTGTATTATCAGTCACTGCATTCCCCCAAATTTGTTATTTGGGAGTCAGCTGTGCATTTCTGAGTAGGGTGTCTGAGAGGCTGCATTCGAGATGTTGGCTGAGGCGGAAGTCACCGTCATGCTTGGTTGGCGCTGTGAATCCTTCTAGGTGCCACACCAGTATAGCTGGCAAGTAGGATATACTGTTGGCAGAAGGCCTCGGTTCCTCTCCACATGGGTGTCTTCAGGACACTCATGCAGGTTTTTGCATGACGTGGCAGCCATCTTCCTCACAGACAGTAGTCCATGAGCGCCAGGTGGAAGCCACTGTGCCCTGTTTGATCTGGCCTCGGAAATCTCAGGCTTTCGCTGCCAGATAATAGGCACTCTGAGAGCACGCAGGGTGTAGCAGGGAAGCCATGGTTACCAGGAGACTGGTTCCCATGGCTCACGCGGACCCCTGTTCCTCCCAGGAGTCTCAGCCTCTTACAGTAGCAGTTTCAGATCCAGGATCTCACCATCTGCTCAGGTCAGGCACAGATGAAGCCGGTTGGGGTCTGCCGCCTCAAATGTGGCTCCTCATTCTAAAGACCGGAAACTCCAGACAGCCTCTGTTTCCCTCCGCACATCCAAGGTGGGGGAGGTAGAGGCTCCCTGCTGCAGACATGCCCGCTCAAAGGGGGCGCGGGAGTCGCTGGTCCATGCCAGTTCTGAGCTCCAGTAGGATTGTCTGCCTTTTCCTGATGGAGACTGATTAGGCCTGGGAGTAGTTCTTTTTCACTTTTGGTTCCACCCTCTGTATCATCCTTCCTGTTTCACGAAAGGAAAGTTCTCAGTGGAGCTGTTACTCTATGCTTGCTACTTCCTGCTGCTTTTTACTTTGTATGACCTCTGACCCTTTCTGTCCAAGCCAGCAGTATTTCTGCTAATACAGCGCTCAAAATCTTTGCTGACTGCCTGTGAGGCTTGCTAGCATTCACTCCTTCAGACAAAAACCATACCAGAAATGTCTTCAGGGTAAGCCATACTCTAGTTTGGTTGCTTCTGGAGCCGAGGGATAGTCTCCTTAATACTCTCAGAAGCCGGGTATTAAGTGGGGAGAGCTGAGGCAAGCCTGAAAATGCCGGTCCTTTGATTTCCCAGCTCCCTGGCGCAGCACCTTTGAGCCTTCTGAGGTCTTAATGAGGTTTCAGTCACATGTCCTTTTCATCTTGAGGCCACAATCTGACCTCTGCCTAGAAACCATTTAATTTTAGCATCATTTACCTTCCGGAGAGGCGAGGGATTTTAAAAATAAAACCAGCAAATCCTGACTCCTTTACCTTCTCTCAGCACTTGCCTGCCTGTGTCTAGTTAGATCACTGAGGTCACCAGGTTCACTAGACTATCACCATAGTGACGCAGCAACTGTGTTGTTAACTTCCTATCGTCCCATCACAAGGATCCCCTTTCCTCTAATTTCCAGTGACCATTTCTGCAGTTTCCTAAAAGACCAGTGAGCTTCTGCTTAGTCTCTCAGAGCACATTCTTTTCAGCGCCCTTCCAGCACCAGCCCTGCTAGCCCCAAGGCCATGCCCACACGTTTAGGGTTCTGTTGTAGCAGTTCCCTTACGAGGTACCAGACTGCATTACTCATCTATTGCTGTGAAACAAATCACCCCAAAAACCTAGGGGCTTAAAACAGTTATTTCCAGGATTTGGTGGTAAGAGTGTGGTAGCTATGACCATTCCTGTTCAGGGCTTCTTACAAGGAAAGTCTCAGTCACGGTCTCACCAGAGCTCCACGTCTCTGGAGGATACACTTCCAAGATGCCTCACTCACGTGACCAGGGAGTGCTGGCTATGGCCAAGGCCTCAGTTCCTGTCCACAGGGCCTCTTCCAGAGGGCTGTTTGAGAGTCCTCTTGATATGGGGGTTGGCTGACTCCAAAATTAAGTCATGCACAAGAGCAAGGTGCAAGCTGCTGTGCCCTTTCATTAGGAAATCACTTATTGTCATTGCCACTGCTGCTCATTGGCTACCAGGTCAGCCCAGTTCGTTGAGAGGAGAATTCTGAACAGCCGTGCATGCATAAGGTGAGGGTGACTAGGGTTTGCCTTGGTGCCTGGCTACTCTGGGCAAGTCCCTCAGCCTGTCTCAAGCTGGAAATAAGAATGGGTAACACCTTCCTCAGGTGTGGTCACGAAAACTTGAGGAGGTGAGGTAGCTAAAGAGCAGTGACTGCCCGGAGAGGATCCTGGTGGTGCTAACTGATCCTCTGTTTGGTGGTGTCACCGTAGGCTGCCAGGAGATAGCAGAGGAATTTCGTGCCCAGGAAATTGATGGGCAAGCTCTGCTGCTGCTCAAGGAGGACCACCTGATGAGCGCCATGAACATCAAGCTGGGGCCGGCCCTGAAGATCTACGCCCGCATCAGCATGCTCAAGGACCCCTAGGCTGCCGCGCAGCCTGGCCCAGGCTCCTCCTCCCGACTGGGCAGAGCCAAACAGACGTTCCTGAGGGCCCAGAAACGGGGCCAGTGGAGGGAAGAGGCTCTCCTATGGGGCATGCTGGTGGGGAGGTCTTGACACCTCCTCAATGGCTCTCAGGGGCCTCTCTCTCTGTGGGAGGGGCAGAGAGGCAGGTGGCACAGAAGATGGGGCTTTATGCTTGTAAATATTGATAGCACTGGCTTCCTCCAAAGTCCCAATACTCTAGCCCCGCTCTCTTTCCCTCCCTCTGTCCCCCATTTTCCAGGGGGTATATGGTCAGGGCTCCCCAACCTGAGTTGGGGCACTTCCCAGGGCAGCCATCAGGCCTACATAGAGGCCTTGGATGCCCTTGCCTGCCTTCCTCCCACTTCTTTCTCCAGGCCTGGCTGACTCTTCCGTTGCCAGCTTCTCCCCCTTCAGCCTGTTTCTGAAGCAGCCAGGGGATCTCCCCCATCATCCTCTGCAGGTGGAGAGAGAGAAGCTGGGCCCAGTTTGGCCAGGCCTGCTGGCACAGACGCCTTAACGCTGTGTGTATGACTGTATGACTGTGTGGGAGCCTGGACTGACAGATAGGCCCAGAGCCCCCCCTCTGGCATTTCCAGGTGTTTTGTAGCAAACAGCCACTTAGTGCTTTGTCCTGGACTCCACTCAGCCTCAGGATGGGGAATAGAAAAGACGGGCAGCTTCAGTGCAGAGGCGAGATCAGAGGTGAGGATTAGATGTTCCTTTCCAGACTTGACAAGTGTCTCCAAAGCCCCTTACCTGCACCGTGAAGCACCAGCTGTCCTGCTGTGTCACAGACCGCATTAAAGAACACGCCGGTGGGCGGGGGCACAGCCAACAGGCCTGTCCTCAAGAGCCCGCACTCGTGCCCAGGGAACATCTGAGGGGAGACAAGAGCTGGAGTGACCACTGATGAGAAGAGGCAGCCTCTGGCCTCCTGCTCCCACACTTTGCCTCTCGAACTTGCTAGCAGTGATTTGAGCTCCCTGTGGAGCGGCAGGGCAGGAAAGGCGAGGGCCTGCCTCCGCCGCGCCCTGCCCTTGCGGGCCCCGGGCTCTGCCTAGAAGAGGGTGGGCGCCCTGCTCGGCTTGTTCTGCCCCACTCACACCCCTGGCAGGGTTGGAAATGAAGGACTTTTTTAACCTTTTGTTTTTGTTTTTTCAAAATAAACCAGTAAAATCTGTTTCTTCTGTGCCTTTCTCCCCTGGGGATGTCTGTCTTCAGTCCTTGGTGGCTACTTTTCTCCCATAAGAGAGGGGTGAGTCCTTGGGTAGGGCAGGGATGACACTTAGCTGGCCTGCATGTCCACCGCACTGCGGCAGGCCTCGGTCATCTGACAGCACTCAGCCTGGCTCACCAGAACCCCGTGCCTCCTGTTCACATGGGCATCCCTGGTGGTGAGGTACACTCCCGCTGGGGACAAGCAACCGGAACACCTGGGCTAGAACCCATGCTCCCCAGCCCTGGGCAGTCACCTTCAGCTCTGCGTCCGGACAGCTGGTCACTCGGCACTTGATGGGCGTTGCTCGAATGCCGAAATGGTCACTAGCATCTCGGCCCTGACGCCCAACCTGGCAGTAAAGGAACAGAGGCCCTTGAGACGAGGTAGCTGAGTCAAGGCAGTGCCGTCCTGCTGTCTGTCCCTGTGAGCCTGCACTCCGAAAATCAAGCTTCGTGGGAAACTTCTCCCCTGCCCCCGGGGCCCTGCCTGCGTGGAGTTTTAAGTCTCCCTGCATCTCTCCCATGTGGGGAAGGAGGCAAGCTGGCCTCCTGCGCCGGCCCAGCCCCCTTGCTTCTACCATGTGAACATGGGGTTTTAAGGCCCAGACCCAACTACTCAACCACAGCCTCTGAGGGTGGGGGCCAGGACAGAAAGCACAAGTTTTAAGAGCAAAGTCCATCGCTGCTTGGCCTTTTGGCTAAGATCAAGTGTAGTGTGTTCTTACCAGTTTAAGAGCCAAGTCCATGCCTGGGTAGCTCCTGGGGAAAGCCTGGTAAAGTGTAACCACCACCTGGAGGAGGAGAAAAGCTCATTAGCTGATTGCTGGGAGACAGGATGGGAGGACAGGCGGTGGGGGCTGCTTGAGGAGGTGGGCAGGGCCTGCAGGACCCCGCCCCAAGTGGGGGCAGTGAAGGGCATCGTGGGGGGGAAAAGGGCAGGCACACTGGGCAGGACCTGGAGTCCCCGTCTGTCAGGCAGGACAGGTCTCTCCCAGGTCTATGTATGTGGTAAAGATGGGAGCCCGAGCCCTAACAGGACATGGTGAGTTGCCTTAACAGGCCCGGACAGGCACTGTTTACATATGAAACGTCCCAAGCTGGAAGTCTGAGGAGTATGTCCTTAAATATGTATTTGCTCCTGCACAGGATTTTGCAAACCTTTTAAGATCTTGACCCACCGTTTTAACCAATGTTGCCCTTGCTAGAAATGCAACAAAAGATGAAAAATCAAAATACACACGGCTTTTCCTGATGGCACAAGCCATCAGCAGCCACTGCACATGAGTTTGATCCCCAGTCATGAGCTGACCCGCCCGCTGCTCCCCTCAGCAGTGTACTTCATCGATCTGCCTGTTCTGCTTCCCACTGCCTCTGGTGAAGACTCTCACCTCTGGCCTGTACCCCAGTTCTTGTGTGCATAAATAAATCTTCAACTTCAAAGATAAATAAAAATACACGAGTATAGATGACTGAAGCAAACAATTGCACTAATTACCCATATGGATAATACATTTTGATACTACATTTCCTGTTCATACCTTCAAAATCTTAGTCACAATGCACGAAATTGATTTCAAGGTTTACCAATGGGTCACAACATGTACTTGTGAAAACCCTCATCACAGTAAGCTTTCCAGGACCATCCCATGCTCGTTATCTCACCTGGCTCCACCTGGCCTCGGATGGCTGGCATCTGTACCTCACTTTACCAAGGACACGAAGGACTGTGGGACTGTGGGAGGTGAATCGCCGAAGTCTCAGTCAAGCACCGGAGCCACCGGGAGCCATCCAGCCCAGACAGGCAGACATTGAAGAGGGACAAAGGAGCCCCAGGTGGGAAGAGGCGCCACCACAAAACAGCCAAGGCCTGTGCAACCCTCGCTGGAGCCGAGGGGTCCAGCCCCCACCCCAGAATCAGCTTGCTCTGGCAGGTGCCAGCCCCAGGTAAATTCCTCTCTGGCAGTTTGCCCCTCCTGTGGGCGTGGCCTGCTCTGTCCCCACCTCCGCACTTCCTGCATTTCTCCCCTGGTCCCTCAGCTTCTCCAAAGGGCTCTCAAGGAGGTACTCAGGTGAGTGGGGACAGTGGGGGACAGGGACAGCAGAGGAGGACCCAGGGTCAAGGAGGAAGCACCAAGGCCAGCCCACTGGGTGCCAGCTGAGCTGTACAGATACCCCCAGGTGGGAGGGGACAACCCCAAGGTCTGAGACAGTTTCTGGAGACAGATGCTGCTGGGCGGGTGGGAGACTGCATCCTAGGAGAGCTTGTAGACCAAAGGACTTCTCTCACCTCTGAGCCCCCACTGGTGAAGCAGAGCTCAAAGGTCAGGGGTGTACCCCACTAACAGAGTGTTATCTCCCTCCCCATTGAGAGTGACTAGGATTGGAAACTTGTTCCCACTTCAATTACTGATCTTCAGCCCCTTTTTGAAAGCAAGGAGGGTGTGGGGAGCAGGGCTCAGGGTAGGACTAAAGGACCCCCTTCTGCAGGTAAGGGTGTGTTGGGGAGGTCCTGAGCAGGAGCCTCCAAGGCCTAAGGGCTCCCAGACCAAGGCACAGGAGGGGCAGGCCTGGCTCTTCGCACCTTAGGACCTGACAGTGCTCAGCTGGGCCACTTGGGGCCAGCTCTGCCCGGAAGATGAGTGAGGTAAGCAAGCATCGGCTTGCCCTGTCAGAGGGGTGGGGAGCAGCAGAGGGCAGAGGGGGCTGCTGTAGCCTTGTCCTGCCCCTGCGGCACAGACCTGCCTCCTTTCTTCCTTCCAGGCACGCAGCACGGAGGGGCAGGAAGAGAAAGAACAGCAACTTGGCCAGGGAGACTGGCAGGGAACTGAGGTGTCTGCCAGGAGGGGACCAGCCTGCAGGGAGGGTTAACAGAGCCAGGCATCCTTGGGAGATGAGCCCCAAGATGAGGGGGGACCAGGTCATAAGACACCCCAAAGCCATGCTAAGGGTCCTGGGTCAGGAGTCACAACAGACCTAAGCTCAAACCACCCACACTTACCAGTCTGGGGAAGAGAATGAGGACTAGGAATCTGCTCCAAACACCAACTGAGCGGCCAGCTCCGGGCAGGCTCCTGGACCTCGAGGTCTAACAAGACAAGAAAGGCACAGCCCTGGGGGCCGGGGCAAGTGCTGGAGTGGGCTGTGCTTTTTCAAACTCTGCCGCCAGACACCCTTGGAGCCCAGTGGGACCTCGGCCCCCTGCTGTCTCCATCTCCGGCGGTGGGAATCTGGGTGCGGTGGGTGTTGGAAACGCGACTGCGGAGGGGCCAGAACTGGCAGGTTTCTCAGGCCGGGCCGAGATGTGTGTTTTACCTTGCAGTCTCTCAGGGGGCTTACCATGACGTGGTATTTTCAGAATTGCTCTCTGTGGTTTCCTGTCATTAAAAGTAATATTAGCACCTTCTAGATCATGGAGGGCAGGGATAAAGAAAAAAATCTACTGTGACTCACTGCACAGACACCTAAGTTTTTCCTGCTAGTCTTATTTTCTAGTGCATGTTGTTATTCTTGCTAAAATGTAATCATAGTGAACATCAATTTTTAGATCCTGCTTTTTTTAAGGTTTTTGAACAAGCACTTTTCCATGTGAGCCACAGTAAGCCACTCGGCCGGACCCTATCCCTGGACACCAGGCCCCCATCAGTTATATACAGAACGCCCTTCCAGTAATGCCTCCCGCAGGCGCTCACCCCAGCCCTTTTCCCTTGGTAAAGGCCCACAGGCACCCCTCTCTCAGCCCCCACCCCTCAAGCCCCAGTTACAGTAGTCTCTTTCCTCCTCACAGTCACACCTGTGGGAAGAGACGCCCCTCCCTTGGCTCCACCCACTCCCCCAGCAGCTCTGCAGGCCCCTGCTGAGCCCTGGTCTCCCAGCGCTGCCCCCCCCCGCCCCCAGTGCACCCCACAACTCTCCTAAGCCAGCCTGCCTGCTGAAGCCTGGCTTCCTAGCCCCACCAGATGATCGGCCATCCCTCTGCCCGCTAACCAAGGATCAAGTCTTGCCCACCCTCTCCTGGACAGCCCTTCACCACCTATGTGTCCCCCACGCGCCTGACAACAGCCTGGCTCATGCCCCTGTGAGCTGACGCGAGCCTTGAGCCTGTCTTCCTGCTCCGGCCGCGGCCTCCCCGCCCACCCCAGGTCCGGCCACCTCACCCGAGCACTTGTTTCCAATAGCCTTGACTGCCACTGCCCCTGGAGGAGATACCTTCTGGGGTTCCCCAGGGTTTCCAAGATAAAGGCCAAACCCTTGAGCCCAGAAGGCCATCCTGGGGGATCTGGTCCCGGCGTACCTCCAGTCTCAGCAGCCAGGCCCTGCCTCCCCTCACCACTGCGGGGCACAGGCAGGCAGGTCCAGGTCCAGCGAGCGCGTCTTCTCCCCCCTCACTGCCAACAGCTGCTCTCCTTCAGGCCCTCTCCTCGCGCCCACTGCCTTCCCTGCCAGGATAACTTTATTCCTCAGGTCCTACCTCAATAGTCACCTCCTCCAGGAAGCTTCCCTGTCAAGGCCCAGATGCCACCCTCACATCTGCCCTCCTGGCATCTTGTATCTGTTGTAATCAAAGCTACACTGTGCCATGGTCCTGCCACCTGTCTCTTGTCTGGTCTCTGACTCTTCCCACTTGCTGGCCCCCCATGTCACCCTGACACCACCCCCTGAAAACAAAATGTACCCCCATTACCTCTAAGTCCCTGACCTTGCACAGGGCATGGCTGAGTTTGTACCCCTTATTAGGTCAAATGCATGAATGAACAGAAACCAGAGATCCTGGGCATAACCTCTTTCGCGCTGAAGATTGTCTCCTTTGAATGGATTCCCAGAGTTGGGGTTATGGGATTAGAGGAGGTGTAAAATAAAGCTTCAATTCCCGTAGCTAAGTAGCTTAGAAAAAAATTAAAAGCGATCACAGCTAGCAGGGGAGTGAGTGCCTCGCAGCTCGGCTGTGTCGTTCTTTTTGAGAAGCTCATTTTCTAAGCAAAGCACAGGCAGCCACCTTGTTCTGATTTGTATGTCTCTGGCGGTAATCAAAGCCAGGGTCGGGGTGGGTGTTTTCCATGTGTTTGCCTACTAAATGCAGGCTGCTGTGAGGACTGACCTGCTCCTCGAGCCAGCCGGGGCAGACTGACAGGTGGTGAGAGGACTCTGGGGCTGTGTGAGGGCGATCCCCGCCGGGGTGGGGAGGCTGCTGCAACAGTGCTGGTGAGCAGGTCACTGCAGGCCTGGGGGACAGGCCGGGCAGATAGGGAGGAGATCAAGAAGGCCAAGGCCACCGCTTGGGACTGCCAAAAAGTGCTGGGTGAGACCGAGGGAGAAGATAGGGTACAGCCAGGCATCTGGCTTGGCCGGGAGAACAGAAGGAAGTGCAGAGGGGCGCAGGTGGGTGCCTGCAGGAGCCATTGGCTCATGCTCCGGTCCAGGGGTGGGGATGGGGCAGCAAAGGCAGCGGCAGGAAGGCCTTGAGGGAGCCAACAGCCAGCCACGCAGGCATGGATAAATCCCAGAGTCCCCCTCCTCTGACCCAGGAATGGGACCATGAGCTCTGCTGGAAAGACCGGCCTGGTGGCATGTGGTCACTCCCTGAGGCTGGCCCTCCCTCCAGCCCAGCCCCTCATCTCCAACCCCAGACTGCTCCCTGGCCCAAGGTCAGTCTCACCACGAGCCAGGCTAAGCTACCTAGTGCGAAGTCCCCCAAATCTGTTCAAGGTCATGCCCTGTAGCACGGCTTGGAAAAGCACAGGATTGATGCTTTAATGCTCATCAGCAGCCTGACAGGGAGCTGGAGGTGGGGGGTGGGTGGGGCTGGCGTGAGCCCTGAGGCAGGACAGCCTCCACGCAGCCCAGGCAAAGGTGCAGGACCCCGCTTGCTGTGCTGGGGGCGGGGGAGGGCCAGGCCAGCAGCTCGCTGCCTGCAGGACCTGCACAGACCGCACCGTAGCCTTAGTGCAGGGCCAGGGCCTGGGCAGGAGAGTGCAGTGTGTGCTTGCACTTTGTGTCTGTCCTGAACAGAATCTGTTCTGTGCATTCAGAACACACAAATGCAGTGAAACATTAAGGGACATTAATCTCCATATACATACACAGCAGACCTGTGTGCATGTAGGGGTACAAATGCGTCGCGGATGTGTGTCCCCCCCCCGGAAGTGGAAGAGAAACGTCAGGGGGCAGATCCTGTTTGCGCTGGTCCTCTCAGGGCTGCGCCTCTACAGGCTCCCTGTCATCAGGTACAACCCCACCCCAGGCCTGGAGGGTCACCACCAAAGTGGCCATCTCAGCCCAGACATGTGTCCCTGTGGGCGCCCCTCCCTGGAAGGTGCAGAGAGGTCTCCCGAGCCAGCTGGCTGGCCCCTCACTGCTGCCCCCACCCACAGGCACCTGGAAATCCTCATCCCCGTGGGTGTCTGCCCTTCAGCTAGAATGCCACTGCTGAGACACAACTCCACAGGTCTCCTGCACCCCTGGTAAAGAGCTGTGTCCTCCCCCACATGCCTAGGAGCTGGGCACCAGCACCACTGTCCCCTCTGCTCCCCCACCCTTGCAGAGTCAGGCGCTCCACCCAGCGACACCCCCTGCCTCTCAGGTGAAGCGCTTCCAGACTGCGGTCTGTGTAGGGACTTCGGGGGCAGGGGCTGTGTCTAAGCCACAGGGTTCTGGGCTCGGCACTGGGGAGGTGGCAGTGAGCAAATACCCAGCACGTGGGTGAATGGAGCCAGGGCCCGGCAGAAGTCCTGACCTGTACCCCCTGGGGAGCCCCCATTGTTTGGGATGGCACTTTCAACCCAGACATGGCCCAACAACAGGCTACACAGTAGAGCCTCACCGTGAGACTCTTTGCCATAGGCAGGTAAGGCCTGGGGAGGGCAGGAAGGGGGTGTGCGTGTGATCTGAGGTGAAGGGCACCGTTTCCCTGGTGTCCTGGGAGACAGAGACAGTGCTCCTGGTCCCAGATCCCCAGGAGAGGGCAAGGCACCCCCTACCATTCCTCCCTGGACATCACCCAGCACAGGCAGCCAGGGCTCAGAAACAACTAAGACAGGGCAGCTGCCGGGGGCTGGGCTGGCACTTCTGGGCCTGGGGCAGGAAGTAGTGGAGTCTCTCCATGGAGGTGGCGACAGCAAGCAGCCAGAGGCAGTGGCCAGCGCCCACAGAGGCAGCGGCTCAGGCGCAACACATGACCAGGGTACCAGGTGCACCAGGTACTGAGGCGGGGGTGGGGGGGTGCTGGGGAGCTGAGGGTTCCTGCAAGGGAGAGAATCTGAGCTGGGTAAAGAGGGAAGAGAGAGGAGGAGGCCCCTGAGAAACTCCAGGGGTCAGTGAGTGGGGCGTGGGAGTGGCATCACAGGTGGGGCTCCCAGCACAGGACAACGTGATAAAGACCAACACAACGTGGAACTCAGGGCGTCAGAATCCTGGAATTTCTAGACCAGGAGTCTCTGGCCCTGGGGCTATGGCAGGAACACCCTACTTGCACCCAGAACAGACAGTGGGCACCGAGGCCCTTGGAGAGGCCTAGGCCCTGAGAGAAACCAGGGCCCCAAGCAACTACGAAGTTCTGTCCCGGCTGATCCACCAGGGCTTGTTCCAATCTGCCCCCTTACTTCCCAGGGGCTACTCCTTTCTGTCTTGGGGTGCGGATGGGGAGTGGGGAGGGGCGGAGGTGCAGTTGTCTAGGGCCTCTGACAAGGGTAATGTGCCTGGAGGAGGCCCCAGGGCACCGCTGACTCTGGGCCCCCCTTCCCCTCCCCCCCACTCCTCCACCGGCACCCACGTACCTGGAGAAGTACCCGGCGCGCTTCCTGGAGACGGCGAGCAGCACTTCATGGTGAGCCAGCGCGTGGTGTGCTTCGTGTTCACTGAGCGCCCGGCGCTGTGCCCAGGTGGCGCTCGCCCCGGCCGCAGGCTTCGCTAGCGGCCTGGCAAGACGTGTCCATGCAGCGCAGGCAAACGCTGCACGCGGCGCTGGGCGGGCTTCTGGGCCGCGACGCGCACTTCGTGTTCC